TCGGATTGAGGACCACTTATTCAAGTGGCCTGGGTCGCATTTGAAAAAATCCAATCTGTGTCGTTCAGACAGTCATAAAAAGATCAGATACAGGTCACATATGGGGGAAAAAATCGGAATTGGGTCACTTCAGGCTGCAGTGTGAACGTAGCCTTAGATGCGACTATAGCTCAGTTCAGTTGTCGATGAGCCATCAATGGAATAATGGAGGACAGGATCAACTTTGGACAACCCTCATCTAGAAGTTTGTTCTTTCTGCAATATTTCCATAATAAAAACACTAACCTCCAGTAGGAGCTTCACACATGCTCCTGTCTCTGGAATTTCTAAGATTCTGCTTCATTGAAACTGAATTTAATCTTAGTTTGATGTAAACCAAGGCCACACAGATAAAACACATCTATAGTGATAAACCAGCTTTAACTGTATTATGATCTCAGTGATGGTCTGATCACATTTCAAACGGTTTGGTAGAGGTGCTCACTATTTCATTGACAGAACAACCCATCAGGACTGGTAAAGGTTTAGAATGGTGCTCCATTCAGACAGCTTCATACTCGCCTCCATTAGCAGCCAAAAGAGGTCCAGCAGCTGCTGGATGAGCGGATGTTCATCCACAGATCCTCCTCCTTCCAGGATCCCCAGCAAGAAGTTCATCAGAACATCCTCCACCAGGTAGACCTTACACTGTGGAGAAAACACACTGTTTACATCAGAGGGAAACCTCTGCAGCGCCGCCTGCAGGTCGCTGTTGACTACGATGCAGCAGCATCTGCATCTTCCACTGCTGACAATTAGAAATGTGACTTTGGCAGGGGTTCCTGCTGCTGCTTCCTCTGAGGAGGAATTTCTATATTTTAGCATAAAAAAATAAAAGCTACCACACCTTTGAAACACAATTGTTTGTATGTTTTTCAGGACAGACAGACATTCTCACTGAATACTAGGTAGGCTAAACGTCCACTGTAAATTTTAGAAAATAATTGGTCAAATAAGTATTGTTTGACTTAAAAAAATGTGGTCATTAAACTGAATTAAATGTGCGCTAAAATGCGCTCCATTTCAAGAGTATGTTGGGTCCTCTCAGCCGCCGTCAGACTAGAGAGGAGACAAACTCTGGTCTGTTTCCCCATCAAAAAAAGACTTCTAAAGTCCTTGCCTTCCCACATGAGCAAAGCTTCCACTGACCTCTCCCTGGGTTACAAAGTCAGATGTAAATATAATAGAAATAAAAATTTCAACGTAATGGTTTTTTGTTCTTATTTTGGAAACTGTTACACTTGAATAAATCTCTTCCTGCTTACGATTCAGTTACTTGTTAATGCCTGTGCCTCTACCGTCTTTTGCTTACATTAGACAACATGATTTGATGTATGTAGTTTAGGATCAGGTAAAGTATTAATAAAAACTTGAAACTAATTAATTAATCAATCTAAAGTTTCAACTTATTGAGAGTTTTTTTTTATTACTTTCTGTCAAGCCAATGTTGACATTTCTCTCTTCTAGGAGCAAGGTATTACCAAACATGCAAATGAGTCAACGATGTCATCTAAAACAGCCAATAGCAGCTTTCCTTGCTAAAGAGTTGGTATCAGAGAGGTCTGACGTAGAGAGAGAGAGAGAGAGAGAAAAGGTACCTAAGGAAGGTTAAGTTGAGTGCATTTTTAGCTCCGGTGTGTAAAACTAACTTAATGTTGCCGCATGCTGCTTTTGAACAACAATATGTAGTTAATCAACATAGTTTGGCCCTCGTTTGTAATATTTCCAATACATGTTTAGTTGAGACTCATTTCGGGCTATATTTTTAGATGAGTATATTAGGACATTTTCAGAAGAAGAGGAAGGAAACTGAGGAAAGGTTTCAGCTAACGTTAGATGGGGATGGATATAGAATATAGAAATGATCACGCAGCTGTTTGTCTCACCATGAGAGGAGCAAAATAGTTGAAGATGTGAGCCAGAGTGATGAGAATGGTTGGTTCTCCATGAAGCCTCCAGGCTGCAGAGTCTTTCTCCAACAGCTTCTCCTCCTGCAAACACAGAGGATTTTAAAGGCTTCAGAGACCGAGACAAGTTCCTGAACTATACATCCATGACCTGAAGCAGGTCACCATTCATCAGATCACCATGGAGATAAGCCAGTCAGAGGTTTAGTCACCTGGGCATCGATGGTGACGGACAGAACATTTTTGATGTAACCCAGCAGTCTGTGGGCCTTCAGCAGGTCTGCAGTGGGGGGGTCCTGAAGGGGCAGGTAGCCTTCCACTGGGTATGTAGGGCTGCATGGGTTAAAGACTTACACCCGATTCAATGAGAAGAACCACATCCCTGCATGTCCAGAGGTTCAAGTGAGTTTAGATTCTACAGAGTTCTTTCTCAGCAGAGTCCTGTGCATCATGCATAAGGATGCATTCACTGGAGCTCAGAACTTTCACCCGTTTGGTTTTGCTACCTGCATTCACCCTTTTAATCCGTTTAACTACCGAGTGCTGAGAATTTCAGGAAGTTACTCCTACTTAAGAATAAAAACTATGAACTTTCTCAAGTCTAAAAATCACTACAAATATTTAGAGACCTCCAGAGGCCTCTTAAAGGACTAGTACACCCAAAACATGATTAGCCTTCATTTTCTACTCACCCCCATGCTGAACA